TTGTTAACTGATCTCTTGTAGATACAAACTTGACTGGTCGAATTTGGAAGTTTTAGATTTCAGATTTCTTTTGTGTGGTCTTTGGACTTGGCGCTCTGGTAATGAATCACAATTTGGTGCTTTTATTTGTGGTGGATTTAGAAATGTAAAATGTTTGAGCTGGTTTGGTATGTTTCCAATGAAAATATATTTTTCTTATTGAAAATACTTTAGCGTCATTATCAGATGTTCTACAGGTATAAATTTTTATATTTGTAATACTCTTATTCATGGGCCTGTTTTGGTGGCGTCAGAAGATGATGAATGGAAAATTTGGTTTTAGAGGTGAAAAGTTAACAACCTGCAACACAGGTTTGTTCATTCTAAGCCATTCTTTGAGGCCCACGTGGACTACAATTTTAGGGTTTCTGCTCCAGAAATGTTTGTGCCACAGCACCAGTGGGCTTACTCCTGACTCTCTTAGGGATCACTCCTGGCAGGTCCCGGGTAGGAGGCTAGGGAGGTTTGGAGAAGCCGCTACATGTGGTTGGGATTGATCCCAGGGTTGGCTCCATGCAAGATGAGCCTTCCCTGGTATTCTAGCTAGTCAAAAGTATATTGTAGAACCTCAACAGACTTTCATCAGTTTACCGGGTCTGCATTGGCTCTGAAATTCTGCACCATAAAGCACTGGGAAGACAACTGTGAGATCAAAGCATGATACTTAAGTATTATGCTAGATTATTTCGAGTAATATATGTCAAAATACATTTCCTGGACCTGTCTAACTGCAATGGAAATTTTACAGAAGGCACCAGTACAATTATTAGCATGTTTAATGATGAATTTAAATGTTAAAATTGAGAAAATTGTGTGCAGAGGATCTTCCTTCATGTGACAGGAACTTGTCAGTTTCCATTTCCTTATAGTGTAAGACAACAAGACAACTTCTGTTCCAGATTGTGTAGTTTGACTGAGCTCATACTGTACCGCTTACAAGTTTCAGATCAGCCCTAGCTTATAACTACATTTATTCTTCAAAATTTTATTCTTGAACAAAATTTTATTCTTGAAAAAAAAAATATATATATATATATCCTCCTTTACACATGAAGGTTAGGATATGAAATGCCTATTAAGATTTAATTTGCCTAGGGGGCCGGAGCAATACAAGCATTTGCCATGCATGCCAATGAGTTGGGTTTGATCCCAGGCATCCCGTATGGTCCCCTTTAGCACAGCTGGTGACATCAAAACAAATGATTTAACTTTTCTAGTTGTCATTAGCTATGAGATTTTTTGCACTTTCAGTTTTTTATAAGAAATGTGGATCTAAGCTTAGTTTCACTGGGGTTAATATGATTAACAGCTGTTAAGGGCTAGACTGAGACTGGTTTGATACTATGCTCATTCTAAAAATTCAGAAGACAAGACAGTGCTTGCATATTTGGGATCAAAGGAATGCAAGTCAGGGTACAGAGATTTAGGGAGAAAACCTTAAACAAACCACAACCACTGAAAACAGGATTGGTTTTTAGTGGTTTAAGAATTGACTAGTGTAACCTATTCTGTACATAATTAATAACTGATAATAATCCTTATCAGTTCTCAGAAGCTGCTTGGATCAACTCTCAAGTCTTCGGTCTAATTGAAATGAGATAATATAGTAAGCTTTCTCTGTAATGGTTCATCAGCACCATTTGAAAATCGGCTTCACAGATGACAGCTTTTCACATCTACAGGTAACTTTTAATCTGTATTTCTGAACATAATGCTATTGACAGCAGCCAGTGGTAGAAGGGCTGTATACAATTTGGAAGCAAGAGCAATTTTTTTCTACTCCCTGGCAAAAAACAAAACAAATACCAAAAATCTGTGGCTCCCAGTTGAGAAAGTGGTTCTATAGCAAACCATAAATGGCAAAGCAAAAACACATTGGTCACCAAATTTTTATTGAGATAAGAATACAAACTGGTGGCATACAAATTGTTAAAAGTAGAAGGCGGTGTTTTATTTATAAGTAGGTCATCATACTTTTTTTTTTTTAAATTTTCGACTTTTTGTGGGTGGGGTGGCAGGTTCACACCCGGCGATGCTCAGGCGTTACTCCTAGCTCTGCACTCAGAAATTACTTCGGTGATGCCCAGGGGACCATATGGGATGCCTAGGATTGAACTCAGGTTGGCAGTGTGCAAGGCAAATGCCTCCCCACTGTACTTTCGGCCCATTTATAGTTGTTGAGCCCTGTGAAAGTGAACTGAGAGACTGTGAAAATACACATGCACACATACTTAACATGTACACACACAGTTTGGAGTAAAAAACTTCACTCGGGTACTAAGATTTTGGCCTTTAGTTAAGGGGATAGGAAACTAACTGTCAAGTAACTAAAATGCCAACTGGTAAAGTGTAGCATGCATGAAGAAATGAGTCCTTTATTCCCAAGTAGCAAGTAGTTTAAATTTGAAACTCCTTTCTTCTGCTGCAAATTCTTAATCATTAGTGAAACAACTAGAGCTGAAATGATTTTTGTCCTGATATGAAACTCAGATGAGCCACAAGATCATCATAAATATTAAAAACAAATCTAGTATAAACTGTGGTTAACACAGAGTAACATGTCCAGAACTATCTTCACTGGTGAATTCTACCAAGAACTTTACGATTCATCCCCAAACTCTTCCATAAGAACCGATCACTCTAAATCAAACTTATTTTAGGAGGCCAGATTCTAAAGTAGGTAAATTCATCAAGGACTATGTATTCAGAATTCCTCAACAACATACTAATATGAAAGGTGACATTTCAGGAATGCATGGATGATTCAGTAAATCAGTGGTATGTATGAACATGTCACTGTCACTGTTCTCCCATTGTTCATCGATTTGCTTGAGCGGGCCCAGTAATGTCTCCATTGGAGACTTTGTTGTTACTGTGTTTGGCATATCAAATACGTCACAGGTAGCTTGCCAGGCTTTGCTGTGCGGGTGAAATAACTCTCGGTAGATTGCCGGGCTCTCCGAGAGGGGCGGAGGAATCGAACTCAGGTCAGCCATGTTGGCTGCATGCAAGGCAAACGCCCTACCACTGTGCTATTGCTCCAGCATACACACATATACACTTGAGATGGACATGCATATCAATTTTCACCTTTTATTTTGGCAAAGAAGACAAAGAAACTAAAGAAAACATGATTCGTGACAGTCCATGTTCAAGAATTTAAATAATATAGGTAAAAGGTCCACAGTATTACCTATCTAAATGTACTCAAGGGAACCCTTACCAAAATTCCAGAGAAAATAAACCTAAAGTTTATATGAAGTCAGAATACCTCAAGTAGCCAAAGCAAACTTAAGTAAGGCTGGCATGCTCCCCAACATCATTAAAACATTGTGGTATGAAATGAAATAAGACATTACAGTGGACAGAGCTCAAAAATCCACAAACAATCATTCTGACACTATTGGGGAGAAAATATTTCCATAAATGATGCTGGGACAGCCACATGCAAAGCAATGAAATTTGCCCATTATAAACAGAAATGAACTCAAGGATTCAAATGTTAAAACCTGAAAACTAGGTAGAAGCAGGCAAGAAAATGAATGCTGGTCTTCACAATTTTTTCAATCACTAAAGCAGTTTTGAAAAGGGCAGCTACAATCCAAGCTAAAAAGCAGTATTGCTCCAACAGGCTGGAGTGATAGCCGTCCAGGGTTTAATATCTAGTACCCCCTGTGGTCCCCTTAGCCCACCAGGAATGATCCTTGAGTGCAGAGCCAGTAGTAAGCCTTGAGCACCACTGGGTGTGGCCCCAAAACCCAACAAAAAGGAAATATACTGAATAGGACAATTAAGGGGTTCCATCCCAAAGTATAAACAATAGTTTTAAAAAAGACAACTAGAGAGTCAGAATACATTTTCCCAAAGACAGCACGGAAAATATGCTCAACATTAATCACCAGGGAAGTTAACCACAATAACTATCATTTCATACCTGTAAGAATGGCTATCAAGACTAAAGATGTAAAGGAAAAGGTTTTTGGTGGAATGTGAAGTGATGTATCCACACGACTATGAAAAACGGCATGGAGATTACATTTTAAGCAAATACACAAACCAGCAATTCCAGAAGTTTATTCAAAGAAAATGGTAATACTAGTTTAAGGACTAGGGAAAAAATCAAGTGGTAGAGCACATGGCTACCATTTGTAAGGACCTGGGATTCTATCCCCAGCACCACATGGCCCTTGAGCACTGCCAGTTGTGGTCCTGGTGGCCCCTGAGAAGCCCCTACAAAGGGGGGCGCGGGGAATGTTGTAGCTAGGGAGCTAGCTCACAGGGCTAGTGTGCACATCTGCGTACTGGAAGCTGGGTTCAATCAACAGTGCCACATGGTCCCCTGAGCACCCTTAAGCACTTACCTGGAGTGTAGTCCCTGAGCTCTGCAGGTGGGCTACAGAACAGAATTTAACAAAATTCTCAGCTTGCAGGATAACACACTCCCGTGTTTAGGTAGAAGACTTGATAAATTATGGCAGTAAAAGTAAAGTATGGCATATTTAACACTGAGCTGTTAGTGAATTTTTGTTGAGTGATCAGTCTAACCCAGACAGTAGAAAAGTCTACCCTCCAGGCTATACTGTATGGTATATTCATTAGTGACCATTATTTTATGATGAACAGTCTCAATGACCAAAATGTTGGATGCAATACTTTACAATCAATATTCGGCTGTAGAAAAGAATGAAATCTTGTCATTAGTCATAATGACATGCTTTGAACGGCATTATGAAGGCAGAGAATATACGTGAAGTCTTCTACAGAAAAACAGCTAAGCTTGTACAGAGAACAGACACGTGATTATCAGAAGGGAGGGGGGCGGAAAGTATTTTCTTCACTAAAGTTACATATTGGACTGGAGAGTTGGTACAAGAGCTAAGGCACTTGCCTTGCACATAGCTGACCCCAATTTGATCACAGGCACCACATTTGGTCCCCCCAATGAGCATGAACAAATGAGGCCCAAAAAACAAAGTAATGTTTAATTTGTAATCAGTAAAAAAATGAAAGTTTAAAGACAATCATTCTTACAGTCAGGTAAGGTCAGTTCACAAATACAGATTTTTTAAAATCCTTACTATATGGATGAAACTCAGATATCTGATTTAGAATTCAGTGCCAAATATGTTGAGTAATAATCGAAAGGTTTAGTATCAGAAAATGTTGGCTTCATTTCTAGTTGCAGATTCGTCTTAACAAGGTTTGTTTACTTGCTCATCACTCATCTATATGGCCCACCGTGAACATTCACAAGCCTATTTTCAAGGTGTAGTAGCCAGCTGGCTACTTTTTAGTAAATATGTTAAGATTTTTCTAGAAGCAAGTTCTGTGGCATTTCACTGAAACGTTTTTCTCACTCATCTTGACTCTAACAATATATATGAGTAGTGCATGTACAATGAAGACAACATTTTTTCTGCCCTAGAGTTTTAGCATGACAACTGTTTTACAGGAACAGCCATTTTGCAAATAAAATATACTTAGCATTCGATTCTCCCTCCAGAACCCAACAGAAAGAGGTACCGTACTCCTTCTCTACTGTTTTGTCATTTTGCCCCACAATCTGTGGCTCAAACTCTCCATAAGTGCTGATTCACAAATGGAAATAAACTTCAATTCTGTTGTAAGACAAAAGAATAATACTTATATTTCACAGGGATACATAATCTACTTGAATCCTGAGATGGATATATATGGTTCCAAAATGAGTAGAATCTAAATGAGTAACACATACCTAATATTTTACATAACAATACTTGTTTATTTTTGTTTTGAAGTCATCCAATTATCTGAGGAAGTTAAACAAAGCTATATTCCAGAGCTCCATGACAAAAGGATATTTCAGTTTGTATTCCCAAATCAGTGGCAAAAGTACTACATATACCATTAAGTGGTAAATCTAAATATTTTCTAATTTCTACTCTAATAAAAAAAAGTTACAGGCTACTGTCCCTATTTGAAGGGCTGTAACACTTTTTATCTTCCCTGAGGCTGCAAATGACTGATCTGTTCAGTACTTTGACAAACAACAGACTCTCTGTGATGTGGTTTTAATATAGTTATTTTGATACACATGGTTTATGGAATTTTACAATAAAAAGGTATTAGTAAGGCCAATGTTATAAATGTCAACTGCAAATATTTTCATAATTTAAAATGTCAAAGAAAAACCCACTTAGGAAAATGATAGCATGTCTTGCATTAGTTATTAAACTTAAGATAAAAAAAATAAGATCTACGTTGATTATTAAGCAATCTAATGAACTGTCCAATACAGATTAGTGTTTGTTTAAGAAATCAAACTTTTAGTACAAAACTAACTGGGCCATCTAACTGAAGTGTGCATAAATACTCCGCTCTGATTCATCTAAAAAATAAAATGCAATGCATAGTGTTACTCTGCTTAATATTTCCTTCAATTCATCATCCCTGGCAGACCCGAAGTGTCCACAGAACCAAACACCTTAGAATAATGTCTGAATGCGCAATGGGAAAATTGCCAACATTTCAAGGCTACTAGCATTTAATCAAGAAATTTTAGGATTACTTAATGCCTTAATTTCAAATGTTATGCAACTGTATAAAGTATAAAAAGAAAATAGTATGTCACTATCCTGTGTATACAGGAGTTATCTTCAGAACACTGAAACGCACTAATACTTTTTTCATGCCACACACATACCGAGAATTTAGTTTTACAGTAAATACACAACAGTTCGATGTAATTTCCCCCCACATATCTATAGTTTGATTTAGGGCACTGGAAACACTTGCAACATGAATTTTAAGTTAAATTTACAGTGAATGTTTGCTTTCCCCCCATTAAAGGCAATCACTAACTTACCTTTTCTCTAAAAGAAAATCAATGGTAATAGAGCAGTATGACAGTACTTTTCCATTGTCATGCAAAACTTGCCCCAAGTTACATTTTTTAAGCTTTAAGAATAGTTGTAAAGTTTATCATTCCCACATATACTGCAGTATAGATATAAAAACTTCAGGTAAGGGAACTGCCAGGCTTTCCTCTCTCATCCCTTTATCTTGCAGCTAACTCATCACACCTGGGCTGGAAGATTATCAAATCTGTGTCCTTATTCCCCAACCCCCCACATAAGCAAAGACAGTTTCTCCAAAAACTGTTAAGTAAAAGATTAATAATGTGTTTACAAAACACAACTGGACATTTTCCATCATTTTGGGATAAACCAAAATAAATCTTTGAAGTTTCATTTGGAGATTTCGAAGTTGAAAATGCTTCCAACAAGTTCTAATGCCTTAGATCTTAAGAAAGGATGTATTGTCCACTGTTGATTACAAAACCAGTTGCCTTCTTTTTTATCTAAAAATTTTAACACTTGAATTTAACAGGTTTTTCTTCTGGAAAAGTTCTTTGGCATTCAAGTAAAATCAATACTTTCAGGATATCCTCCTGCATCACACTGGAGTGACTGCTTTAATTTCAAAATCAATTAATGTAACCTAGGGATACTGATGGCCTTAATACATAATTGAGTCTTGTCATTATTCCAGAGAGCACGGAATTCAGAGCTTTGGCATCATCTGACCCCATTTCTTTTTACCACAATGGTTCCTGCTACAATGTCATAAGCTGTTCGATTATGCTGAAAAAATAGCAGTGTGATGAAAGCAGGGAAAAAGGAAGCAATAGAAAAATTCTTGATCAGAGCTCTGATAGTAGACCTAAAATTTAAAGCAAAAAAAAATCATGTTATATACCAACTACATACATGATTGTTAGTCTAACAAGTTTCAAATGCAAATTTTAAAACTTATTCACAGGATAATTGAGAAAAGTTTTAAAGTACTAAACCATCTGGACTGCTTTTAGACTTAACATAAAGACTTAAGAATGCTCACATGGAAAGTAGTAATAAATTTGCTTTAGAATGTGACTCATTAGGCCAGAGTGATACAGCCAGGGGTAATACCTGACTACAGTTAGGAATAACCCCTGAGCACTGCCAGGTGTGGCCCAAAAATCAAAAAACCCCCAAAAGAGAATGTGAGCCAAAGGTTTATGATATTTTGCCAGAAGAGTTAACTATTTTCTGCTTAATCTTTTGACAGTCAATACTGTTTCAGCTGTGTTTAAATTGAGTATGTTCACTTACAGTCCCATTTTCTAGCTTCTATAAAAAGCACTACACTAGCAAATTATTGTGAAATTCTTTGTACTCAGTTCTTTCTTGATGGGATCCTTTAGGCAAGAGAGTACAGAAGGTAAGGCATTTGCCTTGCATGCCACCGACCTTGGTTCAAACCATGGAACCACATCATCTCCAGAGCACCCCTGAGCAAAGTCAGAACTAGCTCCCAAGCGCTATGGAGTGTGGCCCAACCTGTCTTCCCCACAAATAACAATAAAGCTTTAAACATTTCAACAATCAGGGTGGAGCAATAGCACAGCGGGTAGGGTGTTTGCCTTGCACCCAGCCGACCCGGGTTCAATTCCCAGCATCCCATATGGTCCTCAAGCACCGTCAGGGGTGATTCCTGAGTGCAGAGCCAGGAGTAACCCCTGTGCATCACCAGGTGTGACCCAAAAAGGAAAAAAAGAATTTCAACAATCATTCAGAACTGTTAGAATTCTGCCTCTAAGTATCTCAAAAGCCTATAGTATAGCAGTAGCTGAATGGGGGCGCTTAATCTAGTTATCAATTTTCTATCAATTACTACTTGTTTTTCACATAAAAGTTCCTATAGGGACTATCTTATCAGGAGGCTAGAATTAAGTTAATACATATTCAGTATATATAATTTTGTTTGCTTGGAGCCAACACCCAGCGGTGCTCAGGGATGACTCCTGGCAGAACTGTTTCTGGTACTGGGGATTGAATCTGGGTTGGCTGTGTGCATGGCAAACACCCTGCCCACTGTACAGTCTCTCTGGCTTTCTGGTGCCTGGTGTTCAAGAGATACTCCATAACTATTAGCTATAATATTAACTCATTAATAATAGCCAGAATGTCAGAAGCTCAAGACTTCTTCTAGTCTCATGTTCAGGTCTTTCTGTAACAATCAAGCTATGAATCATTCTGGCTGCAATTCCAACCAGTATCTTGTTTAACTCAACTGATAACCACCAGTCAGAGGTCAATGGATAGCCAAGAGTGCTGAGTATCTCAAGCTTTATCACTTAGGAGTAGGATGCATGCAGGCAGCATTGTCAACATATTTAGTGCCTACTCAGTATGTGATAGTGACAGGTATTAATCAAATGGAGGCTTCTAGGCATAACCAGTGACTTACCATGGTAGACATGGAACACTGATGAAGATACATCACCAAGACCTAAATCACCCTCTTGTTAATTACTGTGACATGTTTCATTAAGTATTGCTTTTGAGGGTTGGAGAGTATACAGGAAAGAAGGCACTAGCCTTGCATGGAGCAATGGGGGCCACGACCCTGGTTTGCATACCTAGAATACTGCCTGAGCACCTCCAGGGGTCACTCCTGAGTACACAGCCACATTAAGTGCATCTGTGTGGCCACAATTCTCCCCCAAATAATTCTGAAATTGTATACTGAAGAGAGTTCTCCAATTATGTAACTGAAAAAGGTTGTATTTTAAGGTTAAATAAATGAAGGCCAGAGAGAACACTCAAGAGGCTGGCAAGTACATTTGGGCTGGAAAACCCATTTTGCATGCACGAGAAGCAGGTTTAATTCCCAGCATCACATGGTTCCCCTCTCCCCCCGCCCCCCCGTAGGAATGATCCCAAAATGAAGAAGAAAAAATAATTATATGCCAGAAAGAAAAAAAATTTACCAATATTCTAAGAATAATTTATGAACTTGCCATATTTACAATTTATTATTTTCATAAGCAGAGTAGCTCAACTAAGAAAAATAACTCACGTTGTAATGCTAACATTTGAGGAAGGAATCACTAAAACCCGACTTGGTGCAATAAGCACTGATGTATCACATGTCACAACTCGAAGACCTAGCAGGAACTTTCCTGGGGTGGCTCCACCTGCTCCCCAAATGCAAATAATCTAGGAAAAAAAGGTAAAGTAATTGAAGAATAATTTCCCGGTTCAATTTAAGCCAATTTTAACAGTAAAATTTTCTGTAACGTTACTTATTTTTTAAAAACTTCCAAGTTGAGATGGAAGTTTATACTCACTTTAGTGTAGTGGGTGTAGCATCTTACATGTCAATATCAAAAATATAACACTATTGTTACTACTAACGCTACAGTAAATAGAAATATTTAAAAAAGTCAAAAAGCTTTAAGCCCAATTTCACAGGACTTTTAATGCTCTCTGCAGGTCTCAACTCAAATTCAGTCCCACAATTGCCTTCAGTGTAACAGTTAGCTATTATCCACATTTCAAACTCCATAGAGCTTACTTACAAGTATATTTTTTTGAATCACAAGACTGAAACATATTACAAGAAAACTGTGTTCATAGAGCTGTTTTAAACTTGAAAAGTACAGTTAATGTGAATTGTCTACATTCATGAAGCAGTTTTAAACTTGGAAAGTAACAGTTAATATTTGGAAAAATGAGAAAATCAGACATTTTTAAAGACATAACTTTACATTTCCTTCTCATCTTGAGTTACGTCTAAAATTAGACTGTCAAACACAGATATTTAATATAGATCTTATGAACAACTTACCTCATAGAAACAAACTAGTAATCTGTATATGAGAGCCACAACCATCATTTTCTGCAAGTCTTCCATTGATGTATCTTCATCTATTTCTTCTATTATATAATGCATAGCAAACTTAGAGATATCCCTATACAAAATAGTAGTTTTGTATTATTTCTTCTTTTATATCATGCATAGCAAACGTAAAGATATCCCTATACAAAATAATAGTTTTGGGTTATGAAAAATCAGTTACCAAAGCAGTTGCATTATTTTTTGCCCCCATTAGTTTAAGTAACAATTAAAAAAACTGTTGTGAAGGGAAAGGGTTATCAGGACCAGGATCTAACCAAGCCCTCATGTACGTGAAGTATGTACCTACCACTGAGCTATAAATCCATGGCTCCTCAACAAACTTTAAATTCTAAATAAATATTTGGGTTCCCAAATTAGCTAGTTTCACAAAACATTCATTAGCTAATTCAACAAATGAGCAGCACTAGTGTAGCACTGTGCTAGCCTTGGGCTAAAAGGGTGAGTGAATTCAATAGTCTTTGCTTTCACAGAGGTTTTAACCTCAGAGGAAAAGCAGAACAATCATAAAATGAGGACTAAGATGGGGAACCACATGGTGCAATGGAAACACATAACAGGTGCATCTCATCAGTGAAGCTTTTCTCAAAAATGACATTTAAGCTAAATTCCAAATGATGAGGAGAAGGGGAGAAGTTCCAGAGATGGAATATTAAGGGAAAGTAATCTTGGAGCAAGAGGGTAATAGAAGCTATAAGCTGTTGGTTTGGTTAAGTGTGAGAAGAAACTGTGATTAAAAAAGCATCAGGAGTGGCTGGAGTGATAGCACAGTGGGTAGGGCATTGCCTTGCATGTGGCCAACCTGGGTTCGATTCCCAGTATCCCATATGGTCCCCCGAGCACCGCCAGGAGTCATTCCTGAGTGCATGAGCCAGGAGGAACCCCTGTGCAATGCCCGGTGTGACCCAAAAAAGCAAAAAAAAAAAAAAAAGGCATCAGGAGCCAGAGAGAGAGTATAGGGTGGGGGAGTGGGTGTGCTAAGGTGCTTGCCTTGCATGCAGCCAGTCCAAGACAGATCCTCTACATGATATATAATTTCCTTAGCACTACCAGGAGTGAGAACAGAGCCAGGAATAGCCCATGAGGACTATCAGGTGTGACCACTTTTCTACCCTCCCACTCAAAAGTAAAAAAAAAAGAAAAAAGCCTAAAGATTATCAGTTAAATCGTTAAAATTTTATTCTGGGAACAGAAGCACGTGGCTGACCCAGGTTTAATCCCCTGCACCGCATATGGTTCCCTAAACCCATCAGGAGTAATCCCGGAGTACAGAGCCAGGAGTGCGAACCACCGGGTGTGACTCCAAGACAAAACAACAAAAAGACCAACAAAATTTTATTCTCATTACAGTGGGAAATCACTAAAGGGTCTTCCGGCAGCAAAGAGGCACAATTAGAATTTGTGCTCTTTTTGGTTTTACATAGATTTTATATTGTCTCAAACAGACAGTATAAGCAAGCAATCCCATTTGGAAATGCCACATAAGCTGATTGCTAACAGTTCATTTACCAAAAACCCTGTCTTTGTCTTGACATACACAGAATTTTAAGAAGGACATTATTTTTGGTCTAACAAAACAGTTGAATAATATCAAAAGAAGTTTGGTTGGCTCCATTTACCTACATCTGATAAGTGAGACTCACAGATCTTCCGATACTTGCCTGTTTTGCCTATGTCTAGTACCTTTTTTAACCAAAGGGCAGGGAAAACAAATCTGACAAAGCTTCTATTAAGAAATCATGATACTGGCACACCAATTAGTCTCTTGCAAGTATGAACAAAACTTAACAAAATGAGATTTCCAGACAATAGGGTATTAAAGTCTTCCTGCAAGTGATCTTAACTTACTTTATTCCACTGAGATGCATAATGCTTAAGACAATGGTTGCCTTTATAAAGAAGAGAATGAAGAAATCCACCATTTCTGCCATAAATCTGTGGGCCAAGGATGGAATAACATACTCTCTGCCTGTAAATTAAAAAAAAAAAAGTAAGAAAACTAATCCACAAAGGCCTTAGAATGCAAGTAGGTAATAACGAGAAATGTAAAGTCAGTGTACCATAGCTAATTGAAAAACAAAAATTTGGTCTTGCAACTATTAGTAGTGTTATCGAATCTATTGATAACACTGGCACCTAGGGCAGTACTCCTGGCTCTGTGCTCAGGGATCATTCCTGGTGGGCTTGGAGTATCCTACGTGGTGCTGGGATGGAACCAAGGTTGATCACGCACAAGGCAACCGCCCTACCAACTGTGCTATTGCTCCGGCTTCCTCATTGGACAGTTTAAAAATTGCTTTCACCATCCCACCCCCACTTTATAAATGCTTAAAAAAACCGTTGTCACATTTTCTTAATCCATTTCACTAAGGGAATCAAATGAGTGTCTGGGGGTGATCGCAAGCCCAAGACTAAACTAGATCACGATTAAGGAGACAATCAGCACAACAGGCAGTCCCCGTGGTCTTGCATGACTCTGTTTTCACTTCCAAAGTCAGGCTTTCTAGGGCATAACTCCCATCACGGTCATCCCGTATGTCTGTCACTCCCCCCAGGACATTCTGCGTCAATGGGCAACTAGGTCCTGTCTGGAACATCTGGGGCAGCACCTGGATACCTAGGTCCAGCCCAGGACATCGGGGACAGCACCAGGGCACTAGGTCCTGCTCGCAACATCAGGGGCAGCACGGGGGCAACAACGCCCTGCTCGCAACATCAGGGGCCGCACCGGGGGCAACTGGGCCCTGCCCGCAACATCTGAGGCAGCACCCGGATACCTAGGTCCTGCCCAGGACATCTGGGGCAGCACTGGGGCAACTAGGTCCTGCTCGCAACATCAGGGGCAGCAGGGGTCAACAACGCCCTGCCTGCAACATTTGGGGCCGCACCGGGGGCAAGTGGGCCCTGCCCGCAACATCTGGGGCAGCATCTGGATACCTAGGTCCAGCCCAGGACATCTGGGACAGCACCAGGGCACTAGGTCCTGCTCGCAACATCAGGGGCCGCACCGGGGGCAACTGGGCCCTAAATGCAACATCTGGGGCAGCGCCCGGATACCTAGGTCCTGTCCAGGACATCTGGGGCAGCACTGGGGCAACTAGGTCCTGCTCGCAACATCAGGGGCAGCAGGGGTCAACAACGCCCTGCTGCAACGTCTGGGGCCGCACCGCGGAAACCGCGTCTGAGCCTGGAGCTAAAGGAGCCGCAGCCAGTCCAGCGGACCCGGCGTCCCACAACGCGGCCAACAGACAGCCCGCCGGGCTGGGGTGGGGGTGGGGGTCAGTGCAGGCCGTTCTGTGCCAGGCCGTCCGCGACCCCCACTCCCCCGATCCCGCGTCGGGGTCGCATTCCCGGCACCACCGGGTGACCGCGCCCCGCCACCAAACCTTCCCAAGCCGCGGTGGCCCCCTGCCTCTCCCCCCCCCTCCTCGCAAACGGGCAGCAGGCGACCCCCCACACACACCCACCCACCCCCCAGCGTGCGCCTCACCTGCCTGCCGCCCGGTCTCGCTCGGGCTGCGCGAAGAGGCGGCGGCCGCGACCCTCGTCAGCGGCGCGGGGCGGACGGAGCCCGGCACGGGCGCGGCCCGGGGCCCCAGGCCCGCGGCGGGCGCGGGCGCGGGGAGGCCGGCGGGCGCCCCCGGCTCGGTCCCGGTCCCGGCCCCGGCCGCCGCGGCCGCCGCGGCGCTCAGGAAGTAGAAGGGGTGGTAGTAGCCGAGCGGCGGGGGCGGCGGCGGCGGCGGCGCGGCGGCGGGGGGCGCGGCGGCGGCGGCGGCGGGGGCGCTGGTCGGCGTGGTCGGCGTGGTCAGCGGCAGCGGCGGCGGCGGCGGCAGGGGGCTGCAGTAGGGGAAGGCGGCCAGGCCGCTGTGCCAGGTGAGGTAGCCGCAGTACGACTGCCACAGCCACTCGTGCACCTGCCGCGAGTACTCGCGGGCGCTCAGCCGCGCCGGCCGCTCCCGCTCCGCGGAGTCCCCGCGCTTGGCGGGCTCGCGTGACACCTCAGGCCCCTCGGCGCCGGCGGCGGGCGGGCAGGGCGGGCAGGGCGGCCGGCCCGGGGCCTGGGGCTCGGCCGGCGGCCCGGCGGCGGCGGCGGACGAGCTTCTCAAGGATGGGCCGGGCTCGCGGTCCCCGCTGCCGCCGCCGCCGTCGTCGTCGTGGTGCCCGGGAGGGCGGCCGCGGGCTTCCTCCGGGCCCTCTGCCATCGTCGCCTCAGCAGCACCGTCGCCGGGACCTGTCAGGGAGCCGTCGCCCGCCCCCGCCGCCCCTCCCCAATAGCCCGCTTCGCCACCACAGCAGCCGCAGGCGTCAACAATTCCGCCCGCCGGAAGCGGAAACCCCGCCCCTCGCCGGCGTCGCGGCGCGGCGGGAGGCCCGGCCTGGCGGCGACGTGCGCGGGCGCACTCGGAGGGAGGCCTCCGGGGCCGGGAGGCGTGGCCACGCGGGGCGCTCAGCTCATTGGCTGTGGGGGCCACACCCCTCCTGCGCTGACGCCCAATGAGGGCTGAGGCCGCGGCCTCTCCCGGAAGTCTACCCCGGGGGAAGGTGGACTCTGGAACTCCCGGGAGACTTTTGCAGCTTGGAGGAGGGGGGGGCGGGCCGATTCCTCCGGCTCAGCGCCGTTTCCCTCCATCCCCAAGATGCAGCGATTTGGGACCCTCGCTTATTTCTCCACGATTCATTCCAATTAAATACGCCCTGGTCGTTTGTCTGGGGTGGCCCAAGACCGAGCCCCTCCGAAGATAAGAAATTAACCGAGATGTAGGCGAAGCAAGTGTGTGGTTCAGTTGCAGAGATTCCTGTTAAGCAAGGGGAGGAGGGAGTAGGCTCGGGTCACAGTTCTCAAGCTGGAAGTGACCTCTGTCCTGAAAAATCTTGCTTTTCCACCGCTGTACACCAAGCCAGTTACTACTGCAAAGCTGCGCTTCCTCAAATCCATTATTTCATTTTTTCAGCTCCCAGGACTTTGGAGCCTTCCAGTTCCCTAAACAGATCTAATTGCCACTTCCTCTGAGTTTTATATATATAGTATTCTATTTTTTTTCCCCTCTTCCTTCCCCCCCCCCCCCCCAGGGGAAGGTGGTGCCACGCCTTGCAGTGCTCAGTGCTCAGCTCCCTGATTCTGCACTCAGGGTTCACTCCTGGTCCCCCTCCTTGGGGGACCATGTGGGGTTGCCAGGGGTTGAATCTGGGTTGGCTGCATGACAAGCAAGTGCCTGCCCTGCTGTACTATCGCCCTGGTGCCTCCAGCTCCTAGTTTATTATTTTAAATGTCGTTTCCCATGTCCATAAAATAAGTTAGCTGATAGAATTTTTTTTTGTTGTTGTATACCTACTACCACGAGGATGACCTACTTTGGGCATAACGTACAATTTTAGACTGTTATGGTAGAGAATAGAGAGGGAACTTATACCCTCCAGAAGCTAGTAATGTGGGAATTACTTCACTGATGCTGATTAAAAAATCGCGATAGGTGAAATTTCCACAGCAGAAGAGTCTGATTCTACAGGTAAGCTAATGATTGAGTCTTGGGGACTTATATGCAGAACTTCATTTCGGGCTTTTATTTAGCTTTTTATTTAGTGATAGATTTATATAATCATAAGAAATTATTCTTGCTATTATTATTTTTAATAATAGAGTATGAACCTCCAAATAAGGCCTAGGTCACTGTGACTTATCACTGGAAAGGTTACCATGGGAATACCATTTCAAAATCAATTCAGGAAGTTATAAGGTTCAAACAAGCAAGCATTCCACATTTGGGTGGAGAAGACTGAAGAAACGGAAGCAAAGGCATGTAGAGGGCTTGGAATTAAAATGAAACATGAGATGGGTCGGTAGACTTAACATTGTCAAAATGGCAATACTACCGAAAGCATTGTATAAATTCAATGCAGTCCCTATAAAGATACCCATGACATTCTTCAAAGAAATGGAGCAAACACTCCTGAAATTTATATGGAACAATAAGCCCCCACGAATAGCTAAAGCAATTCTTGGGAAAAAGAAAATGGGAGGAATCAACCCCCCTAACTTCAAACTTTACTACAAAGCAGTAATAATCAAAACAGCATGGTACTGGAACAAAGGCAGAACTGCAGACCAATGGAACAGGGTTGAATACACTGACATCTCCCCTCAATCATATGATCATCTAATCTTTGATAAAGGTGCAAGTAATGTGAAGTGGAGTAAGGAAAGCCTCTTTAACAAATTGTGCTGGCATCACTGGACGGCTACATGCAAAAAAATGGGCTCAGAACTCTGCCTAACACCATGTACAAAAGTAAGATCAAAATGGATTAAAGACCTCAACATCAGACCAGAAACCATAAGGTACATTGAAGACAAAGTTGGCAAAACCCTCCATGACATTGAGGCTAATGGTATCTTCAAAGATGCCATGCCACTGGCCGAGCAAGTGAAAACAGAGATAGATAAATGGGACTATCTTAAACTAAGAAGCTTCTGCACCTCCAAAGAAACAGTGACCAAAATACAAAGACAGTCTACGGAATGGGAAAGGATATTCGCCGAATACACATCTGACAAGGGGTTGATATCCAGGATATACAAAATACTGGTTAAACTCCACAAGAAGAAAACATCCAACCCCATCCAAAAATGGGGCAATGAAATGAACAGAAACTTTCTCAAAGAAGAAATCCGAATGGCAAAAAAGCACATGAGAAAATGCTCTACATCATTAATCATCAGGGAGATGCAGATCAAAACCACAATGAGATACCATCTCACACCTCAGAGACTGGCCCACATTCAAAAGAACAAAAGCAACTGATGCTGGCGTGGATGTGGCGAGAAAGGGACACTCCTTCACTGTTGGTGGGAATGTCCACTGGTTCAGCCCTTCTGGAAAACAGTATGGACGATTCTCAAAAAATTAGAAATTGAGCTCCCATTTGACCCAGCAATACCACTCCTGGGAATATATCCCAGAGAGGCAAAAATGTATAGTCAAAGTGACATCTGCACTTCTTTGTTCATTGCAGCACTCTTTACAAAAGCCAGAAACTGGAAGAAACCTGAATGCCCAAGAACAGATGACTGGTTAAAGAAACTTTGGTACATCTACACAATGGAGTACTATGTAGCTGTTAGAAAGGATGAGGTCATGAAATTTACATACAAGTGGTACAACATGGAAAGTATCATGCTAAGCGAAATGAGTCAGAAAGAGAGGGATAGACATAGAAAGATTGCATTCATCTGGGGGATATAAAGTAACAAAATATGAGATTAATACCCAAGAATAGCTGAGATCAGCACCAGGAGGATTACTCCATAGCTTAGTGGCCAGCCGGGCATTCTAGAGGAAAGGGTAGCTCAGATAGAGAAGGGAGCACCAAATAAAGGGTGTTTGGAGGATCCTCCCAGGAGGGGAGATGCATGTCGAAAGTAGACTATGGACTGAACATGTTTGCCACTCAATGCCTCTTTTGCAGACCACAACACCCAAAAGGAGAGAGAGAACACAGGGGATTTCCCTGCCACGGGGGCAGGGGGGGATGGGGGGATGGGGGTAGGGGGGACATTATCCATGGTGGTGGAAAATGGGCACTGGTGGAGGGATGGGTATTTGATCATTGTATAATCGAAACCCAAGCACAAAAATTGTAAATCTACAACTGTACCTCATGGTGTTTCACTAATAAAAAATATATATATATAAAGAAAAAAATGAAACATGAGAAACAAGGACTTTGTTTTAAATTGCTTATAGAACTGAATATGTAGCACCCGAATGTTATAGATATCCACCTCATGGACCGTTACCTTAATCAGGACGCTAGTTTGCAGTGGTCAGAAATGCAATCATAATTTGTATAAGGGGAGGGAGTGAATTTATTCATTTGCATAATTTGAAAGTTCAGAGTAGTTTCAATGATATTTAGTTAAATAAAAAAATAATAATAGCTTGAGGAATCACCTTTTTCTCTCAACTTTGCTTTTGGAAAAAAGACTATTTCTGTCTCAGTGATTTTATTATAGGTGAAGCCTGGTAAGAATTAAAGTCAGTAAGTCCGTCATCAAGTCCTGCTCAGGGGACCAGGTCTGTTTGATCTGCACAGGAAGTAATTCAAATGAAAATCAGAGAAATAAAGTATAGAAACGGTTTACTACAGGTAAGAATTCTAGTCTGGGCAAAACTATTATTTTATTTTATTTTTTGGCTTTTTGGGTCACACCCAGCATTGCTCAGGGGTTACTCCTGGCTCTGTACCCAGGAATTACTCCTGGCAGTGTTCAGGGGACCATATGGGATGCTGGGAATCGAACCCAGGTCGGCCGCGTACAAGGCAAATGCCCTACCCGCTGTGCTATTGCTCCAGCCCCAACCATTATTTCTAAGTAAAACAACTTACTAAAGTAAGAGTATACACTCAGATGGGGCTAGGATGTTAACTCCAAGGATTAGTATGCAGGTTTTGTGTGGAGGAGACGTGGGTTCAATCCCCAGCACTTCATGGTACCCTAATGGGAAGGAACCACCCAGCACTGAGCTGAGAGCAGCCCCCCCTTGGATGAAGCCCAAAAAATCGAGACCATATTTAGAGTCTGAGTGTGAACATATTTTACTAACTTGGCTTTTATGTAAATGTCTAGGTTATATTGGTTAAAACTATAGAGTTTTAAAACTAAATTCTGTAGCACTGAGGGTACATTAAATTAGGGACTGAATATGCATGAAAATTCAAGGATGAGGGGAGAACCAAAGCACCACCCAGATATAATCACAGCTGGCAGCTTCCATGGGTTGCTATTGTGATTGTAATCTGTCACTGGGCCACAGGTGTGGTTTTTTAAAATGTCGATATTTTTACCTTTTAGTGCCCTGCACTTGTAGCTCATTAACTCTGGTTGATAGAAACATACCAGACTTGCAGACTTTGTGTACAAGTGTTTGAGAAAAGCCTGAGCAAAGAAAGATTTTAATGAAGAATAGAAAGAGGGGTTGTGATGTCAACATGTTAATAGTATTAGTTAATAAGCATACAGTAGTCTTTGCTTAAGAACATAGATATTTGCTTAAGGGAATAACAAGTTTTGCAATGTCTGCACATGGGAATATTTGTTCATAAGAGGGAAAGTTTTCTGATTCCTTCTCCACAAATCAGTTGTGTACCACATTTATATCGGCTATTCTCCTAAAACAACAACAAAACCTAATTGAAAATCACAGAATAAAAATATCTTCTTTAACCAATAAGTTCAGAAGTTCTATGTATTAGGAGTTTCAACATTATATGTAATAGGCATTCCAAAAGAGAGGAGAGGCAAAATTCAAAATAATAATGGTCAATTATTTTCT